ATGACTTAGTCTTAATGATTTAATTAAAATATTCTCTTACAATTAAAACGCATATCCGTAACATTTTCAATCAATTTCTAATTGTTTTTCGAACACATTTTTAAGTATGACCCTTCGTATACTGGAATATGGCAGATCCTATGATTTGCTGTACTTTTTTTTCTCTCTGATAGATGTTTTCTAAGTTTAGGAAATGAAACAAGTCAAAGGTGGAAAAATCTGGCAAATTTTGTTGGTGTGACAAAACATTAACTTTCTGTTTATCCCCAAAAATCCTTGACTCTTCATGGCCTGTGGGTTTGTACAGTTTCATGAAGACATTTAATGTAGTGAATTCCTCATTCTGTTTCCTTCCTCTCATAAACCTTTCAATTTTTTCGCAAAAAAATTGTTTTCTAGATTCCTCCAGAAATTGAACTTCCTCCCCTAATATGAATTTGAACAACAAGACCGCTAATATTTAAGAAAGTAGCATATTAAACTGTTCTATGCTCTTGCAATTTCTTTGCTCTTCTTAGGCCTTTGCACTTTTGTCAAGTGCATCTTATTGTAAATTTGTTTTGAGAGCTTAAAGCAAAATGGATTCAAGTTTCATTATCTGTTAGAATTTCAGACAAACGTGGATAAGTACAATTTTTGATTTTTTTAAAGTAATTGTTTGGATATTCCTACACGCTGTCAATTTCACTTATTTTTCAAAATATAGGGTGACCTTTGAGTATTAAACTTTTTTACTGTAAAATGTTTCTATAAAACAGTATGAACTATCCCCAAAATGATTTCTATCAATTTTGCTATATGTCTTAAAGTTAATAAAACATAATCAGTGATAATTTGTTGAAATTTCGCAAATTTACATCGGTTGTTGTAAGTCATTGTTGCCAAGGATGGTACCTATTTTTGATGCCCATTATATAATTTTTGTTTATATTGAAATCTACGTATTCACCTGTCTATAAATCCACATGATAAAGAGTTAACACAATATAAAGATATTTTTAAATCACATAAGAAAGAGTTGGCATAACGTTATAATATATCCACATCACGGTATGGAGTTTTGACATAATGTAATAAAGTGTTGATATAATATAAAGATACACAGTTATACACTTTTTACACCACGTAATAAAGCACTGACATAAAGGTAAGATGAAATGCATTGGTTGATGTTAATTTCACATATTTCAGTTAATGTATTTTTGGGATATTAACAAGTTTTACAGCTGCTTTAATGAAGCGTTTGATTTTACTCTAGTTTAATGATTCTTGACCATTCATTTTTAATGAAGTGTCTCGAAAAGCCATTGTTTTCCAGCTTTCCACGATGAAATAATTTGATTAAAAGTGGTCACACAAACTGTTATCAATTCATTAGAGATTCAATAATGAGAGAAAGTCAAGCTTTATGTCATATGACTACTATGTTGTGAAATGTCCCACAAAACAACATCTGACTTACGGTTTGGCTTAATAACATTCTTCATTAGTCCAATTTTATATTTATATACATGTATAATGACAAAATTCCTTAATCTAAGCATATTGCCAATATATCGATATTACAAAACAAAGTATTTGTATTGCAATATATTGAAATATCGATATTATTGCCCAGCCCTAGTCCCTCGTATATGTATACAAAGTATTTGTTGAGAATGGCAAAATTTTATATTCATAGCGCCTGGTCATATTTAAAACGCTATCAATAATAAACAATGAATGCTTAAAATTGTACTGCAGAATTTTTTTTTGCTTGAATGAGTTGATAAAAATTACAATTTAAAAAAACCATTCACCAAACATTACAAGTTATGATCATTTAACGTAAACGAAGAGGGTTCGGTAGGGTCATTATAAAAGAGGTTCTTTTAACTGCTCTGAATCCATTAGTAAAGCCTGGCTGTACGTGTTCTTGGCTTTGTTGTTAAGATTAGTCTCAAGAAATGAGTTTTGACGGATATTTTGTTCCGACTTGCGCTGCAATAATTATTTAAAGTGTCAATAATGGCATGTGTCCACATCTCTATTTTATGAATAGAAATGGCAAGCAAATGACCTTGTTTTGCGACATGTTGACACTCAGTCTTGGATAATGAGACCTAACCAAGTGAAATTTTCCCAGATAAAAAAACTAAATTATTGGCCAAAGAGATTGACGTAGTACAAAAAAGTGGTTTAATCTGACTGAAGAGACACATTGTCTAAAAGAAGATTTTTGCAGATTGTCGAATCGACTCAAGTCATGTCTTTTATCTTGCATGTTAAAAGTCGGACAAGAAAGTAAAGAAACGAAGAGCATATTAATCAACTGCATGCTTGGAATACCACTGGATGCAACATGTATGTAATTGGTTCATTATTATACCGAGTTCAAGTAGCCCTAATTATAATCAAGTAATAACAGTATATTGCTTCTAAGATGAGGAAAATGAGGAGGTAAGCTTGTAGCAGTAGTTTTTGATGTGTTGTGTAATTAGTTTGTTTAACCCCCTCTCCAATACAAACTGTCTCATTCTGCTTTAATTGTAGGGGAGGGGTTTTTGTAAAATCAAAAAAGGGCACCATATTGGATGCCTCTGGGAAAAGAAATATATATAGAGAGCAAATTTAAATAAAGTGGTCAAGGGTTTATAAAATCTGTAGTTAAAGAAGTTGGGAAGAAATGTATAAATTGAAGTAGATGATCGATAGCTTTATATAGATATTAAATTTTAATGTATTGAAATTCTCTGTTGAAAGCCTTTTGAGCATATATTTTATAAATGATCAATCAAACACACCTATTGCTATTTATTGGAACACTAGGATGAATACATGGTCGTCTTTCGTTTATATCATTTTCATCTTTGATATACAGTGTACATGTAAATTAAACTTTTCTTCAAATACATGTATGGTTAGTGTTTTTTGTTTTTTTTTTTTTGTTGTTTTTTTTTTTACATTTCCTTCTATTGTCTTTTTATCATTGTATAAAATGCTTTAATAAGTCATTTTCGATTTTTTTTTGCTGTTGTTTTTGTGGTATGAATAGACCCATAAATCAATAATAAGAAATTTGAAAATTCAAATACACTCGCAGGGGAAGGGAATGCTCACTCCTCCTTTGCACCTGATCCAACCTCTGATGTTTTAGAGATACTTGTTTTCTCTGCTCCTGATTTGTGTGTTTGCTCATTTTTGAAAAAAAAAAAGAAATTTAAATTGAAATACATGCAGTCACAGTAACAAAGCTACATGTACATTTCTCTGGACACAATCAACCTCCAAAAATCGATAAATTTTCTTGAATCAAGAAATTTTGAAATAAGAAAACGAGTAATTTTATAGTATATGTGGTGCGGTCTTCACATATGTACTAGTTTAATAATGCATCTTTCATCTGCGTTGTTCCTGGCACCTTACATAACTAACAGTGAGTATATTCCTTCTTTTCTGTTCATCTTTTAAGATATTGCTTTTAATCATCATTTATAGAAAATGAAACTTATTAATTACACACAGAAATTTGTTAGAATAAACTACTGTTTACATGTAATTATACATCTTTTTTTCAAAACAATTAAAATCTGAAATCTGATTCGTTCTATTCCAGGTATATCTGTGTTAAGTACTAGAAATGCATATTTTTACTTGCATTTTGGGTTTATGTTCAATCTCAGTTGATTCGATATGCAAGAGCATGTTCTAAGTATGAACAATTTCGCAAACGAGGAAAGCATAGGAAAACAAGTTGATGAAACAAAAATATCGAAAGTATTGTTTAAAGCAAGTTCCATAGTCGATGCAATAACCTTGTCCGCAATTGCAAATACATGTACAAATTAAACTATCATTAAGTTCAATGCTGACTGACGTTTTTCATACTCATGTTAGGCCATTAATTACACGCTAAATCGTTGATGGATTTTCCTGTTATTTCCCGATCGTGACAATCTTCAAAAAGTTTAAATTATAGAATTTATAAAACCAATTTTGAGTGCGAAAAATATTTAACACTGTTATCATTTAAATTTAGAAAAAACTTTTGAACCACAAATCACCACCATCCAATTGAAACAGGTAGATGGAATGGTACTCAGAGAAATGAAAGAGTTTGTAACTTATGCAGTAGTAACCAGATAGGAGATGAATATCATTATATCTTAGAATGTATTGCTTTAAACCAACTGAGGAAAGTTTATTTGAACCAAAAATTTTGTTCTAATCCAAATATTTTCAAGTTTTGTGAAGTCATGTAACAAAATGATGTTGATTCTTTGAAAAAATTATGAACATTCAGTTCTAAAATTAATAATATTGTCTGTTCTCCTTAGTTATCACCTTCTGCTTGACCCATTGTATTATATGTATATATGTTATATATGTTTTTGTACCTTATGTACCATTTACATGGTTTTGAGTGAATAAATTGAATTTAATTGACAATGTGCAGGCGGCGGGTGTGACCGGTTAGCTGCTCACTCCTCCATGGCACCTGATCCCCCCTCTGATGTGTTTTCTCTACTTCTGATTTGTTTGTTTTTCTTAATAATAGACTTACGATTTTGAAAACTGTTCGTTTTCTCCATATTTCGTCTTTAGCATAGAAAGTTGGAAATATAGGCTTTATGTATTTCAATCATGTTGTCTGTAGATTAATACTTGCATTATATGTACATTTACAACAAGGTTATTACTAAACACAGACATTTTGCAAGTTATGATAATTATGTAATCGTCCACATTAGCAGGCAATTATTTCAGCTACTGTCACACATCATTTAATGGTAACCAGATTTTGTCACTATTTAAGTGAACCGAGCAATACACAGTATACGATTAGAAAGCCATGGAGCCTCGATCAATATAAAATATTTGTAAAAAAGAAAAAAAATAACTATTAGTAACTCCTAAAATTCTTGTATCACAGAAAGTGTTGTAATATTCCACTATATTCAAATTTTGTTGGCGGGATGCCAGGCGAAGACATGACGAAAGGCGACAGACAATTCATATAGGTTCATTTCCTTCGAAGTCTGCATCAATAAACAAGCCCAAACGAGGGCTGCTTTATTATTATACAGTAGGAAATGATAAACATCAAAATGAGCCCATTCCACTGCGTTTACTATCCCACATTTTGAGTCTTATCGTGGATTCCTTATCAGCCGGCAGTTTTTAGTTGGAGATTATCGGTGGCTTGGTGAGTATTTAATTCGAAACTAACAAATCAGATACAGAATCACAGAACGATTCTGTGAACATTTAAGATATTAATATTTAAACATTTGTATTATTCTAGCTGGTTTGCAAAGTTTTAAAAATAAAGCAAAAGTCTTATAAAGCACAGTTACTATGTTTTTAGGTTTGTTTGAATGTTTGTTTTTAATTTTCGGTAAAATTCTGTTACACTGTACCTATGTACCATGACTGCAGAATTCTTAAATTGAAAATAATGCATATGAAAGCAGATTTTTTGTTTAATTTTGTTGTTGTTTTGATTTTTTTACTTGTGTGAGTTTTATTTCATTATTTTTTTTACACAATTACACCGTACCTTGCAATTCTTAGTGCGGTTAAGAAACAAACAAATACAAATGTATTATGCATAGTTTACAGTTGATGTTTTGAGAAATTGTCAATAAGAACCTCAGCTGTGTGCTTGTTAGCACCTGAGCCATAGCTCAATTGAGTTTATTCGTCCGCTGTCTGTCGTTATCGTCGTAAACTTTCAATTTTTTCTTCAGACCCACTAGACCAATTTGAACCGAACATGTTTATCTCCTTGTTAAATCATTACAATCATTTGAACCAGACCAGGCGCAATGGCCACGCGTATGATTTTTAAACTATAACAATTATATTGTACAGATATTAAGCAATGTAAAACCTTACCCAAAATACAAATAAATTCATATAAACACAGCTTGATTGATTTACCTGGAACAAATAAAAGGATATACATATATGCAGAGCAAATGGATGATCAAAGTTTGAGATTAACTAATTGTAAATCAAATGTATTATGAATTTCTATCATTGGGTAAGAAAAAAGAAACGGAAATGATTCTTATTTGTAGCTTGCTCAAATGTGAAGTTCACTCACTTTATAAACATGATTTCAGCATTTTTGAGGTTATGAATATTATTGATTCAGGGTATTATGCCATAAATTTGTACTTATTAGACTAGCTTCTTTTGATTGTTAATGGGACCGTACCACAATTATGATAGGTATAAAACTACATCTGTGATCCCACATAATGATATGTCTTTTACAAACTGATGTTAACAATATAAGCCCATTTTGTCACTCGATACATATCGTCCATAATCCCAATTAGCATTTTCTGACTTCTCTTTACGTCAATATCTATTGTTTTTCGTTCTAATCCATTTTGAAGTCGATCTAAAAAAGTTCACATAAGCACGTGGCGGAAGATCACTTGCACATGTATGTAAACATATTACCTGCCAATATACATCTGTAGGAAGCCCATTTTTTTCTTCATTTTTACCAACAAAAATAAATAAAGAAATTCCTGTATGATTAAAGGTTCTCTTTTTTATTATTGATCGAGAATCGTAAAGAGGTAATTATATTCTTTTCAAAGGTGGCAAAAATATGAAAACTAGGTAGTAATTTATGTGTTTTATTACAAACTTTTATACACAACCTGTTTGATTATGTGGAGAGGAAAGGTAATTTCTCTGTGTTAAATGGCAATGAAACATTGCAAAGAAAAAATATGTAGAAGATTAAGTATATTTGAGAGTATGGTAACTTGGAGGTAACGTTTGAATGATTTCGATTGTATACTTCTCTATTGTCTAGAAGAATGCAATACTCTAACCGGGAATAAATTGTTATTAAAAAGATGAATATGAAAATAATATGAAACCTAGCAGATGTTTTGGTTTAAGGTGCATCTAAACCATGAAGCAAAGATAAACATGCTATCTGACGTACCTCACTAAACATCATAAAGCATAGAACTTAATGAGCAACAAATGAAAATTTACAAAAACTGAACTTTATTATATAGATTATCATTTGTTTGATAAAAAGAGAATTTGTTTTTGCACAGGACTCAAAACAGATGGAGAATCTTGAAGCCTACTTGAAAAGTACATACGGCGACTGTAAAATCCTTCACCTGTATTCAAGCAATATTTAAAACACATATATTATTAGTTACATAATCTTTTAGTGTCAGGGTATGGAATGATACCTGGTTAGTAAATTTCATACTTGGCGAGGCGTAATATTTCATACAGTACATTTTAGGTAAATTCTCACCTCCCTGCACGATGTATTGTTAACTCTAGTTTAAGAAGGTAATGGTGTAGTGTATTTAACCACCTATTATAACTACAAAAATCACAATTAGACGAAATAAATTATGATGAAACAAGAAATTTTTAACACAGTAGTTGAACAACCTCAATTTTAATTTTTAAAATGTCCAATATGATTAAAAATAGAAATGTCTATACATAGAAGTTATTCATATTACACAATTATATTATTTCGATGTAATAAACCGTAAGGATGAATAGCTGTTTGGTAGACGGGACTCAGGTATCATGTTTCAATACTCGTCACAAAAGCTGTCCTATCTTAAAATCCCACCATATGTTCATAGATTGATAACAGTTACATCATATACTCTACTGAATGCAATGAAAAATACCTGGTGTATAGCAGCGTTTGACAAGGAAGAATTCACAGATATGTGTATATCTGTTGAGTTTATCGAAAAATACAACAATTCGTGGTCGTCACCTGTAAACGTATTAAAGGTGAGTGAAATTTAAAGATGGGAGAAGCATGGTTAACTTAAATCATTGGTTTCTTACAGCAGAATTTGGAATTATCTTAATTTGTCAATTTGAGAAATTAAAAATGAAGTTAGGGCTTTCTCATTTCTGTGAATGCTTTTGAATTGATTCCGCGATGGTAATGAACGCTTGGGACAAGATGGATCAAATTTTAATTTTAATCTATCCCCAAAATTACGTCTTGTAGACACAATATATTTATGGCGGAGAGATACTAATTAATTACATGTGAATGTACAGGTTTTTATTTGAATCTGTAATTGAAATCGTACACCAGACGCAGTTTGTCTTGTAATTCATTGTGCTCTGGATTGCCAAGACATACTACACTGTAGTTATTACATCCTTGTGGCTGTTTAGATACAAATTAACATTGTTGTAGAGACACAATTGAAAGTATCGACATATTTATTCCAATACCAGCTGTCTACCTTAAATTTCGTACATTTTGGATGAAACAAAACCTGGCTCCGTGTGGGCGTTTAAGATATATCACTAAAATGGAGTTTTTTTCAATAGCTCGCTTCCTAATCCCAGTTACGATTGTTAAACTAAGTACAGTGAAATATTACACCTTTTTAACAGTTAAAAGTTAAAAGCAGGGTATTCTCACTGGAAATACAATTGTGAAATATGAAAATAGGCCAAGGTTAAAGTTTTTTCGTAAGTACGGAAATTTTCAAGGTCATTAGTATCCAATGAAAGGTCTTGTCACTAAAAAATTCATATGTAAAGTATGGAAGCCCTAGCTGTAACCGTTCAGAAGTTATGGCCAAGGTTACCAATTTTTAAAAGGTAACTCCAAGGTCAAGGTCAAAGGTCTTGCTTTCAAATAAAAGGTCTTGTCACAAGGATTAAATATGTAAAGTATGAAAGCACTAGACCTAACCCTTTAAAAGTAATGGTCAAGGTTTGCCTTTTAAAAGTAGGTCAAACTCCAAGGTCAAGGTCAAAAGTTCTTGGTATTCAATGAAGGGTCTTCTCACTAAGATCACATAAGTGAAGTATGAGATCACTATCCCGTAGCGTTCAAAAGTTATGGCCAAGGTTAAAAAAAATTTAAAATAGGTCAAACTCCAAGGTCAAAGGGTCAAGCTCTCAATATCAAATGAAAGGTCTTGTCACAAGGAATACATATGTAAAGTATGAAAGCACTAGCCCTTACCCTTCAAAAGTTATGGTCAAGGTTGCTTTTTAAAAGTAGGTCAAACTCCAAGGTCAAGGTCAAAGTTCTGGTGTCAAAAAGAGTCTTTTCACATGGATTATATATGTGAAGTATAAAAGCCCCATCCCTTACCGTTCAAAAGTTATGGCCAAGGTTAAAGGTTTTTCACAAGTAGGGAAATCTCCAAGGTGAAGATCAAAAGGTCAAGGATGTTGATATCCAAGGAAAGGTCTTGTAACAAAGAATAGATATGTGAAGATATATGTCTTGGTATCTACTTTTCAAAAGATATGGCCAAAGTAAAAGTTTGGAATTGTAGTGTAAAAATGGGTCAAACTCCAAGGTCAAGGTCAAAAGGTCAAATTTGGTGGTACCAAAAGAAGGGTCTTGTCACAAGGAATAAACATGTGAACAATGAAAGTCATAGCTCCACTAAATCAAAAGTTATGGGCAAGGTTAAAGTTTTTGCGGACAAACAGAAAACAGAGAGACAGACAGACAGACGGACGGACACGACAAAAACTATATACCCCAAACTTCGTTTACGGGGGCATAAAAATGGTTTCTGGTTGATCTGAGGATTATACAATGGAATAATCAGGGAAGGATCAAGTCCTATTTTGTTCTCCTAAAAAAACTCAAGAACTTAACTGGTGTTACATGTATTGGGGGTACATGTACCTCGACAATTTACACGTACAGATAGTGTTGGGTTGAAATTTCTTCGTAGAATTGACATTATATGTCTTTATTCCAAAATAGATTAAAAAGAAATCTATTCTGGTTATCTGATTATTTAGTAATTAAAAAGAAGCTGTAACACAAGATGTCGAAAGTCCGTATCTCGAATTGCAGGTATTCTAAATGACAGATGGTTTAACCAGTGCACTTGCGCAATTAGCACGTAAAAAATAATTATGATCGGCAGGTACCAGATGCACAAGGGTGTAATAAGGCAATAATAAACAGCAAACAAGCACTGTTTACTGTGTAAATGGTTATTGAATGATACTTCAACAAAAAATAAATAATCAAATTCACTTAACAGAGAGTCAGTTGAATTTCTAGTGGCGTAATTTATTTCCTTGCGTCTGAAGAGAATCAAGTTTTAAAAGCCGTTTACAAAATTACATATCCCAGGTTTACCGCCATTATATTGGAAATATAAGTGTTAATAAAAAATATCTTGTAAATGATAAAGAATAATGGAACATCAATCGACTTTATCTAGATTTCCTTCAACCATTTAATTCAGCTAATATTCGATTCCGTAATATCATCTTTATATTGTATAATTGACCCAGTGTTTATGAGTTAAGTTTCGTCTGGTTAACCGACTAAAGTTAAGTGAAACATTTGATATTTCTATATTTACTTTACTCAAAGCTATGCCAGCGGGTAGAAATCCCTAATCAAAAGATCTCCATGCAAAATATATGATCGAAAAGTCTGAGTTCAGAACTAAAATATATCACTCGAACTTAAAACAAAAAAAAAGTAATCGAATCATATATCGATGAACAATGTTGTTTTTCACGAAGAATGTACATTAAACCTGAGTGGTGAGATTTTATATGGCGTGTAAAACGTTGCTTTATTCGATCATCTTGTGATGTATATTCAAAATCTTGTGATATATGTTCTAAATCTTGTGATGTATGTTCAAAATCTTGTGATGTTCTATAATCTTGTGATGTATGTGTAAAATCTTGTGATGTATATTCAAAATCTTGTGATGTTCGTTCAAAATCTTGTGATGTATGTTTTATAATCTTGTGATATACACTGTATATGCAAAATCTTGTGATGTATGTTTTATAATCTTGTGATGTATGTTCTATAAATCTTGTGATGTATATGCAATAGGTGTATTGTGGGTAATATTCGATTTATTTCGATAACCTTTGTAAGGACTTTTTTCATGGTTCTACAAAGTGAAAGCAGAATTAGACCAGAACGCTGTGAAAAGGAGAGTCGATGATTAGAGGACTTCACTCTATTTATTACATTTACATCTTCCTCAATGTATCTTAATATATAATCCATATCTTTTGTCTCTCTTCTTTGTATCAAAGTCCAATTGCTCTATGTATGCATCACCCCGCGCTACTTTCGTTATTTCCAACCAATGAAAACTGTCCTTACTTTACTAGAATACTAATGCGTCATATTACCCACAATCCCATTATTGCACATACATCACAAGTTTATTGAATATACATCACAGGATTATCGAATATACATCACAAGATTATAGAACATACATAACAAGATTTTGCATATACATCACAAGATTCTGCATATACATCACAATATATTGCACATACATCACAAGACTATAGAACATACATCACAATATTTTGAATATGTAAAACAAGGTGTTGAACATACATCACAATATTTTGAATATACATCACAAGATTACAGAACATACATCACAAGATATTGCATTGCATATACATCACAAGATATCGCATATACATCACAAGATTTTGAACATACATCACAAGATTTTGAATATACATCACATGATTTTGAATATACACAAGGTTATCGAATATAGCAACGTTTTACGTGCAATCCCTGGAAAACCTTGGTGATAAAGACTAAATCTTGTCAAAAGATAAACCAGATATTGCGCGGTATACCGTTAAAAATGCTAGGCCATGCTGTTACTTTGGCTGAAATTTCACCTTAATTTACACATCTGAAAAAAATTCAAATTAACGAATTCTCTATGAACTTTTGAGTGAAGTCAATTGCTTTCAAATGAATAGTACGTTAACATGTAAATGTTCTTGGAACTTGTAGAGCTACCAATAATTACAGATTTCTATTATTTACTGAGAGCGTCTTCAAAATATTAACTAAAATGCCCATGAAATCGAAACGTTTTGTCGTTGATCTGTCAGTCTGTCTGTGTGACACCGTACCACTTTAAAGGTCACAGACATATGCGCGCACATTTTGATTCTGCATTCCACTGTAAATACAGGAATAATTCTCTGAGTTAATTATGATTCGTTGACAAAAGCACCATCCGTTTATGCCATACCCTGATGAATATTCACGACTGAAATGAGTTGTTAATGTACTTTATTCGCCGATTGTTACATAGATTTCAGGTTATGAGTGGGATAATCAGGGCAAGAAACACAGTTACTTCATGAGACCTAGCTATTATCACCTATAACAATTCAGGAAATCTGCAAAAAGGACGCAAAATATTCGGAAGATAGTACCAGATTCTTATGCAAAATTTTCAATTTGCATTCTCCGGTCTCAATAAAAAGGGATCTGAACAGAAGTATGATAGATAAGCACAATTTCTCTTATCGTCCCGCATTGCCATAGACAAGGGCAGTAGGGGATTCGATATCTATTTTTACGTTAAATAAAAGGTATTTGAGATCTTATTAATATTATGTCAGACTACTAATTGGGATTTTGCTATACTTTGTTCGGAAATTCTATCGTTAACTAGCCTCAGATGTTGATGCAGTTTACGTAATTTTATAGTCATTAATGTTTTTTGATTGCAAATAATTAAAGATTTTTAAGTTAATGTATTGGCAACTTTATCGACTTCTTTCATTTTTTTACAACCTAGATCAATGGTTTGTTATTTCTGAATCTTATTCTTATTTAGTTCAAGATCAAAGCACACCAGCAGTCATTTTCATTATCATTACATCTTGTTATGTTTTTCATTAAACACATGCATGATTTTCCCTTTTACTGTGGTTAACTTCCTGTTATTGTAACGACTCAGTGCAGACCAATGTTTTGACAAATTTAAGCCTTTGACATCTGACTTTACAGATGCTACTGCAGTGGGAATGAGTACGAGGAACATTTAATCAGGGACAAAAAATACTTCCTCATCGGGCGGATCTTAAGCTTGTCTCGTATTTACCTATCTGAAAGGTAAGAAATTTTTCTATTATTAGTTGTGCGTTAAAATTAAACCTGCTCACGTTCTGTAAACAGTATTTCATTACCTAAAACAACTATTACACCCCATATCATTGCTCAGCAAAGCCAATATCTTTTCTTTTTCATTTCCAATGATATCATATATTTTCTTCATATTTTGAAGAAAAAAAAGTTTTTCAATATTACGTTCGGTGGCTTTTGGAATTTAAAAAAAAAAACATATGTTTATTACTCTGTCTCTTCTCTTCACGGAGTAACTTATTTGGAATTCTTATAATTGCACAAAACTGACGGATACAAAACCCAATTTACAAAATTATTTAAAAAACTGGCTGTTAAAGTGTCATAAATAAGACGAAATTATACCTTTGCAATTTATTATACGTACTCTAAACCTATCCTTATTCGTTACTGTACACGATTCAAAAGGATATGATCGCATCTTCGATTTAAAAACATTTCTTGTTGAAAAAAGTGGACTGGGAGGAACATGTTATTGACTTCTGAGGATGGTTTTTGTTGATTCCTTATAAAATATATATTGTGAAAGGGCCACAACATATACATGTAGGGTGAACATTTAATTTTAATATTGCTTATAACTTTGCTGCTTGAAAAATCTAGTCTTCCTTATGTTTGTAAAAGACTGTTACATTCAAAACAAATTTCGAATCCCTTTTGCGAGTACAAATTTACGTTTGAGGCAAACACAACCAAGTTGGCTAACATCCCAACACAAATTTATATCTCTGAGACCATCTCCATATGGTAATATTTACTTTAAATACAGCGTCCATGCATATTAGTGAATTTTCAATAATTTTAATCATCAGGAACCAGAAAATTGAAAAAAGTGTCCCGCAGGAAAAAAAGTTATGATCCTGGTTCACATTTTTTTGCACTAAATGTTGGAATGTCATGCAAGCATTTGTGTTACCGAGAGCATTTATCATGACCTGAAAGAAAGCTATCTTGATAAAAATATGGAAGTCGTATTTCAAATCGGTAATCTAAATGCCAGTTCTAAATGCATTTTTCCCAAGTGGAAAATGGTGAGCAAATATTTCAATTAGTAGAATTCGTCGGTCGCGTAATGTTAGTTTAAATACCTATGTTAGCATTTCTATTTTATCTATCCATTAAAAGTTTCCTAGAGAGAAATAGATACTTAGATGCACAAAAATACGCCTACCTTATTTACTTTGACCAGAGGAAATCATTATTTTATACGCCAGTAGGCATTTAAACGTATCTTTTACAATAGTTCAAAATCAGAGGGGTGCGAGTTTCAGTATAAAAAAAATCCTGTACAATCACCTCAGTAAAGCGTATTTAATATAATCTATATAAGACAGTAAAAAAAATGGGCATCCTCACAAACGAAACGCGTTCACCAAGTTCACTGAAATGGCCATAAATACCAATGATAACATTTTTTTCCTCGTTTAGTTCAATAATTGTGGACGAAAAAGAGGTTAAGTTGCTATATAGACGAATTGCAATAAGATAAACCCCAAATACACATTTTATAGCAAAAATAATCTATTAGTTTGCACAGATATAGTCACAAGTCAAACTAATTTTAAAATATATAGAGAGTAATGATAAGCAATACCCAAAAACTTGTTCACCTCTTTCGTAGAAAATTGCTATTAGATTGACATTTTCCTATATACACTGAACCAAACTTCTAAGTGTTCACCTAACATTTTTTAAGTTCTAAAGAACAAATGCAAACAATTAATAATTTCGTTAATTCATGCTTAATGATGCTTATTTCAGTTCGATGTTGCGTAAATATCATGAAAGTATCTCGTCAGAATTTTTAGCAAAGTGTCAGGGAAATTATGTACCCTCAAAATGAAAACTCACACAAAGATATTTTTTGGAGTAAGACCACCATGCGCTCTTTAACTGCAAGACATACTTTACTGTTGGATACAATGTACCCCTGAATATGAGATTGACCCATCTGCTGCCACACCTACTGCCTAGATTTTTCCAAACCGTTGAAATTAAGTAGAAAAGGGGGGGGGGCATAAAATTTCTTATAAAAGTCAAAAGTGTGTTCAATGGGATTCAGATCTGGAGATCTGAAGATGCATCATCACACAAATGGTCAATATCCTTGGACGTTTATCACGTATACACCGCTTTAAGGATGATTCAGACTACATGAGCTGATATTAGACTGTCACAAGCACCGATTTCTTTTTCATACGATATGTTTTCATGTTTCTAAGATTGTTTCAGGACAATGTAACTGTCTTTAAATCTGGTGTGACTCAAAATTTTGGCCTCAGACGAAGAACAAAGTCACTTCCGGATTGGTTAAATTTTGTCAAAAACATTCAAATTGTGATAAATTGACGATGAAAAAGACGCACAGCCTATCAAAAAATGTTTTTAAATGGGTTTTGATACCGGTTGTTAATTTTTAAAAGTAATATCAAGGACAATTAAAAAACTGAAATAAAAGTTAGTAAAACGTGGTGCAAAGATGGTCTAGATATCAACATTCTAACGGCTCTCCCTTCTTTCACAATGGTCATTTTGCCAATATTTTGTGTTTTTTTGTGAAACCTGTTTTTAAAATTTGATAATAATCACAAAAAATTACTAATTACACAAAACACGTTCCACAAAGTACGGATTTATTGTTTTTAAGGTTCGTCATGGATCATTGGTTTTCATCGGTGATATTTAATTTTTCTTGCTACAATTGTTGAGAGGACTCATTTGTTGTAATAATTTGAAAATATCATACCATTCCATAAAGTAGTTTTTAAATAAATACATTTATAAAAGTGAACACTTAGAAGTTTTGTTAAGTGTACATGTAGCCTTTCTGCAGAGTTTTTAGTATATCATGAGATCTTCTGTAAATATCAAACTCAGCTCGTTTTGATTGGTTGGTTAGTAAGTAAGTATAAGACTGCGTGGAAGTTGCAGAGTGAAAGACGGGCTTACAATGTACATTCCCTGTTATATAGTGAGGTAAGAAATGAGTCCGAAATTAGTTTTGTAAAATATCTAAATTTGCACGGCCATGCTGATGACATTTTATCCAGACAGAGTTTCTTTTTTGACTCGTCTGATTGTGTTTAGTTCTCTTTGTCAGAAACCAGATGAGCTTGTGCGATAGTAATGTGTACGTCGTCCGTCCGTCTGTCTGTCTGTAAACAATATTTCAAAATGCTACTCCTCTTGCAGATGTGTCGGATTTCAATATAACTTGGCACACGAGTAGACTTCACTAAGATACAATGACATAATTCTGAATATCGGTTTTTGATTTCGATGAACGGTGTTGCCGTGGTTACTAAAAATAGAAATTTCTGTGAAGTACTTCCAAAATACTACTTCTCCCACAGTTTTGGTCTGATTTCAGTATAATTTGGCACACAAGTTGCTCGAAAAAGAGACTTAATGAAGGACCGTTATTCTACTCAATGCTATTGTAAAGTTTCAAGTCCCAATGGCTACTTTTCCCTTCTTTTTTATTTTTAAAGTACAAACCAGTAGAGCTAAAGTCTACACGCATAAACCTCTTCTGCAAAACCTTGATAAAGAAAACATAGGCTATTCACCTGTCAAGGCCGATTCATTGAAAGGACAACAATTTGTTGGATTAGCTATGAAGACATTGTTGATGAAAAATAGTGGGACTTGTGTTTTTCAAAGATTATCATCTCAATTATTCAAAGAAAATTAATGATGATAGATCTAGATACATGTAAATCTACTGGAAATGACTAATAAGACTGTTCCGTTAAATTAGAGGATATCTACAGGAATGGAAATTTCAGACAAACTCGAGCTCTTTCCTATCTTCTAACAAGCAAAGATGATGAACTGATCTTCCGATCTGTATTAAAGAGATTTTTTAGGCGTCACTGCAATTAATATGCCTTGCTTTAACGCAGTTTCCTTGAGACCTGACAGAATGCATGATATAATAGATACGGAAAAGGACATGATTTTACGATCAAGAAATAGTATTCATAATAAGGGGTCTTAGCATCAGATTCTCAACAAATATCATTTAAACTTGCTTGTTACATTCCTTTTACTGTATTTTCGTGTGTGAGCTGAGAAATAAACTGTTTCTATCGATAAAAGAAAATTTTTAGTGGTAAGTCGATACATTTCTTACACGTCTCAAAAAGTTATGTGATGGTAAAAGCCGGGAAATATATTTTTTGGTTATCAGCGGAAAGTTATTTTTTTTATTATTTGTTGTTGTTTTTTCTTTGAAAAAAAAAACCCTCTGAAAACACAGTTTTGTCTTTCGTGTAGGACGTGACATCTGTGTTCGTAATAAAAAGGGGGTTTAGAGGAAAATAAAACTTTTCGAATAAATAATACAAAATTAAAAGCGTTTATAAATAACAAGAAAATGAGCAGGTGTTTGTAAATCTCTCTACTATTTCTTATTGTTGACTGAGACGTTAAGGACAATTTGAATTTTTTGACCCGATGTGTAGTTAGTCCTGAAATTGATGTAAAATTGACAGTCATGCTTTACGTTGATTTGGTGAAATCTGTCAAATGTAAATCAATGTAGGAAGTGATAAAGTCTCGTTTTCAATTAGGAAAATGTCGCAGACGTATAGAATTATTGCCCTCTGTCGTTTGTTTCAGCGCCACACACCTAATTACTAAAGGGACGTCGGTCTTGTTTTCTTAATTTGGGACAAGATGTTCAGGCAAATGCAACCTTAGATGTCGGACGACTGTACTTTGAATGCAAATGCTCTTCCTTAACATGTGCATATCTATAACTAAGATTGCATGCATAAAAGGTCACTTGTAATAATTACTGAAGGACTGTTGCACTTAACAAACATTGCGAGAAATATGCCTGGAGCGGACAATTTATAGTTGTCATGCGATGTTAGCAAAACTATACTCCAAGATTTCCACTGGATTCCTTACCATTTGCCACAACTATAACCATTTTTATAGATCTCTTAAAATTCTTCACACAA